GCCCCTAGTAGCGTCTTTGCTCGTAGTAGCGATGCCAGGAGCCCCTACTCCTTGCTATCTGGCGTATTTAGGCAAACCTTTTTCTCTGCTGTGTGTGCTTGGGCGCTTGGGTGCCCCTGTGCCGCTGCTGTGTGCGCTGGGGAGCGTGGGTGCTGGTGGCTTGTGCCGCAGCAGGGTGTCTGCTGTGTGCGCTTGTGTTTAGTGTCGTGTACATATATACATCTTTTGGTCCATGTGATGTTTCCAGGAGCGTTGTGAAAGGAGTGCAATGATTCCAATGCTATCTGGGGTCTATGTTGGCGTAATACTTTTGTTATTTTTGGAATCCCGTTCTGGGCCAGGCCGGACTATTTGTACTCGCTCATCGAGCATGTGTTGGCCACAGACGGCACATGTGTTTCATGTCATAAGACCATCAATGGGCACTGCACGCCTCCAAATGAAAATGCATTCTGTGACAAGGTGCCAACCACTGTCGAAGAAGGCGTCTTCAACGGCAGATAGCCCAGAGCGGCCTGGAATCGACCTTGAAAAGGCTCTATGTATTCATGGATATTATATATATAATATATATGTGTATAATATATATATGTATAGTATAATATATATATATATGTATAATATATATATGTATAATATATATATGTATACTATATATATGTATAATTATGTATAATATATATATATTGTATATTTAAAGAAGGTTCCTCAGGTTTCACTGACAGAGCAGTAAGGTGTGTTTTGGCGGCTGCCACATCCTGAGGCATTTTTCAGCCAGGTGGCCCTCAATTCAAGCACCGGAGGCGGTTGATGCTCACGGGAGCTGCACGCCTCTCAGTGAGCGAATCTACAAGTATTGCCCTTGTTGCTAGTAGCTTCTTGTTCCTAGTAGTAATGCCAGGAACTATTAGTAATTTCTAGATTCTAGCTACTAGTAGTAATGCCTTGTTACTAGTAGCGTGCACTTGAGGCCCTAGTAGCGATGCACTTAAGGCCCTAGTTTTTTTTTTTGTGCTTACCCCTCAGCACCAAAACGACCCCAGAAAGGCCTCACAAAATTTGACTTGCCAAAGACGTCTTCCAGACCAACAAGTGTTTGTTCATGTTCTTTCTACGGAACGAATGCAAAAGAAATCTATGCCACAATTCTGAGAGCTTCACAGCACTACGCGCCACCCACTCCATTTTTTTGTCCACATGCGACGTGGCCACATGGTAGATTCAATTTGCTCTGTTTGGATTGACTGCCTTCAGGGCCTCTTTTCTGAAGGGCATTCAACAAGATGACATGAAGTCTCAAGCAGCCGAAGCGCGAGTTTTAAAGGGGGCCTTGTTACCCAACTACTGCCAATGTAAAAAATGCATCCTTTTTTTCCTCTCTTCTTTATTCTACACTTGTAAGGTTCTGATGGAAGTGGGCATCCCTGTGCACTTTAACTTCGATGGAGACGCCATGCTTTTAGAGTTGGAGGCTGGAGTGATGTTTGCTTTCTTCCCTGAGCGATGAAAGAACTCACTCATAGAAGTACAGTAACACATTGATGCACATTGCTTTTGCAGCTCTAAGACTTTGCAGGTGGGAGGCCCTTCACAAGAACCAAAAGAGTCCAACGGAGTGCATGTCCTTGCGAGCTAAAAATAGAGCTGAAAGCAGCCAAAGGAGCCAGTCGTAGAGTTGCACCAGGTCAGCTCTATCATACAGCGAGAGAGAGAGAGAGAGAGAAAAAAAAGAGAGAGAAGAAGAGTAGATTTCTGGCACTGCATAAAAATGATGAAAGATGTAACTATATACAGTATTCACTATATCCACATATATATATACACATATCCACTTTGAGTATTTGCGAGAACAGAGCTCAGCGACTCTGCGTCGCTCGTGGTCAGCCTAAGAAGCTGGGCAGCTGCGGCCTCGCAACAATCCTTAACTTTTCGAAGAATTCATTTTCTGCAGCACGACCGTGCTTTCCGTGCAATGGCTGCTTCCAGTGACACTCATCCAACCTAGAGGACCTAGAGCCAAGAAAAAATCGCTGGAAGCAGACTTGTGAATAGAGAAAAATAGATGCTTAGAGCGCAGGTCCAACATGCTCATGCCTCCCTGACTTTTTTGAAATTAGTCTGGGGCCAGCATTTCAGAGCATCAATCAAATTTTTGTTTGAACTGGACAGCAATCGTGGCTTTCAAAGGCCAAAGTCCAGATGTTAAAGACTCAGCAATCATCACCGTGCTTGTTGTCTTGAAAATTATTTACTGTTGGCTTGTCAGTGGGACTGCTATTGGCAGTTTCAGCCAAACTTCGCTGGCCCCAATATTTATTTTGCTTGAGAGTGATTTGACTGTGGATGCGGTTGTGTTTTGCCAGTGATGTCAGGGATGACAGATGCTATGATATTATAACATCATAACATTGTGTGCCTTTTTGGCTCAAAGGTGTAAGGATGGCGGAGGGGGAGACAGTTGAGATACCCCTAGAGCCGTCGCAAGCCTAGCAGAAGTGAGTCTATTTTTACTTTTGGCCAGTTCTGTCCTTCCAGCACCACTGGGACCTGTGAATTCTGTCGGGTACTGCTGCATGAATCTGACCGAAGAACCTTGCTCCAAGGACAGAAGAGGAGCTCGCTGCCGGCGAGGTGCGGCTGCATGCTGGCCTAACATGTTACAGAATTACAAGTGTACTGGCTGTTTTTTCTTGAAGAAAGAAGCCACTGCCTCGAAAGGGGCAGACCCTGGAAAGTATGTATTCTATTTGCAGCGCTTACCCTTTCCCAAAGACTGACAGACCACCTGCAACGGATTGAATTCATTTTCGAACCGTTCTTTGGCAAAGGGTGACTGTTCAACTGAGGACAACTGTAACTTAATCATACTGAATCAATATTATATACTGTATTGCGGAGTGGCGTGGATGCAGGATGTCCAGTTTTGAGGGTATGTTCGGGATTGTGAACACATCATACCCGCTAGAGGAGATCATATCTGCTAGACTCAATCCCCATGATCGGGTTCACCGCATTGTCGAAGAGCGAAGGCTTCCATACGGGCTTGTTTCTGCAATTTCTGGAAACGTTTGTGACACCTTACTCAAGATATGGGAGGTAGTAGCAGGTAGTATGTAGATGCCGCCGGCATTGAGCAATGTTGGCGGTCGACCCAAACCTTGGGCAAGCTGCTCTTGCTTTGAAGACTCGACTGCGATGTCCAAACTGCAACCTGCTGAGTGTGCAGGCGGCTGATGCTGAAGCGGCTCCTGGGGAGGCCGATTTTCTCAAGAGCCACCCGTACTTTTGTTTCAACCAATTATCCAAGCTGGAGCTTAACACTCATACCGATAGAATTCACTTTCGTTCATGTGTTGAGTGTTCACAGGATGGAGAGGAGGCCGCAGAGGCAGCAGAAAAAGGCCTTTCACTTTTTAACTTGATTTTGTTGCCTTGTGTGTATCAGTGTATCTATTGTTCTTTGAAGCAGTTCTGAATCAAGTGACTGAAGTGCTGGCACCTTGCTCAGAACAGCCACCGGAGCCTCCTACGCTTTCGGAAACGGAGATACTGGTGCTCTCTTGGCTGTGATGTAGCTTTTGGCCGTGAAACGGAGATACTGGAGAAAGATCACACACACCTGGACACCCATTGGATTGGCTTTTGAGGGGGTCATTTGATGGGCAGATTTGGACAAAGCCGCATGAAGCCGCTTTTTCTCGGGGTTTGTGGGTCGAGTGTTGGCGTGACGTTGCTTGGTGATTGATCGAAGTGTCCGATTCGTAAAAAGGCATCGAAACCCTTTGCGTATTTCGTTTGGGGGAAGGATGATTTGCTGCGTGTTTCGTGTGCTCAGCACATGTCACTTTGCGTCACCCTGGGATTGGTGCTCTCTGGCTTTTGGGAGGTGATGACTGTCGCTGTGCAAGCAGGCTTGTGGCAGGGAGTCGTGAGGTTGCGACGTTTGGTGCAGGTGAGTGTCGCTGCTTTGTGCCATTGGGATTGGCGTTTCAGAGTGGCTTGGGCTGCGAAGCTGCTAGGCAGGTCTGCGTGGTGTGTTCGCTCTGATGAGACGTCCCGTTTTCGCTTGTTTTGAAGGCTTGATGCGTTACTGTTGGAAGCGTTCGCTTTGAAAACGGTGTCCAAAGGTGTCGCGCAGTGCCTTACAAGAGTGTCCTAGGAAGAGTGCCAAACAAAAGTGTCGCACAAACGTGTCCTACAAGAGCGTCCTCGAAAAAAAACAAGTTACACCAGAATGTCCTTGTCTTTGACGAGTGTCTGTGGATTGGGGTTGGTGGGTTCCCTTTTGTTTTTTCAGTCTAAAACACGGCCTGGACGTTCGCCTGTGTGGTTGATTAGATTGGGCTGATTCCCTTTGAGGTACGAATGGGCAACTGCGCCCCTGAACCTGGTGAAAGCGGGCTGAAAGGGATTTTCATCAATGCTCTGAACTCAGGGGCAGTCTCACATCCTTTTAGCCTTCATGGGGCTCTTGTTTGGATTCGATGCAATGAGTTGTTCTAGTATTTCCAGTTTCAGTCCCCAAATCTGTGCCTTGCAAACCTCAAGGAGGCATGCCAATGCCTTGAGGCCTCCTTGGCCAAAATCAAACATTCAACGAAAAAGAACTCACAGACTATACAGATCCAAACTGCTTCACAACGTGCGGACCTCCCAAGCCGTTCCTAATTTGACCAAACGAAGCAACACTAATCAATGCTCACCATTGCATTCCCTCCCGTGCAATCTGTTGACATCTAGTTAGTGGCAAGTCAACTAAAAAGAAAAGCACTCATCGAATTGTTTTATTTTGCCGATCGACCCCGAATGGCCGGTGTTTACCATGACGACACCGCCGCCGTTGCGCTTGGTCATGAAGAGCTACGACAAGCTCTCGCAGACGCTCAGTGAAACTTAGATATTTTTGCATTTGTTTGTAAGACTCCTCTTGAAATACAGAAGTCTCCTTTTGTTCGCTGAGCTTTATATATTATGTGTGCATAGCTATGACTACAACCATTATAACCACACGATTTGCTGCCAAGGATTTGCCAAGAGAGTGTTCATTCTTTCTGCCAATAGCTAACGTGGTATGTTGCGTATGTGCAATCCTGAACCTGGAACCTCATGATTATATGCATTGCTTCTTTTTTCCTTGGCTTTTGACCACCCAGGATATCCATGAAGGTCACTTGGATAGATGAAGATGGTGAGGACCCATTATGGAACAAGAGAAACTACACTATACAGGATTGTCAGGCTTGGTGTATGGCTGCCCAGATTTGCTTGCCAATCAGTATGCACTCTGTGATCACATGATGTGACATCGTGCAGAAAAACAGGAGCAAAACTGGAGCTCATGGGATGATGCTTTGTGCGGCCGCTGTGGCGCCACAAAGGTGCTGCCAGCACAGAGCAGAGATATTCAGGCGGCGGCGAGGGACCCTCGCGAAGGCTATATAAGACTACTTTTGTCATCTTTTGTCCTGAAACAAACGTTTCGTGATCTTCAAGATTTCTGAAGAGACCCGTTTTTTTTTCCTGGTTGTTTCGTTCGTGACCGAGGGTGCCGATGTTTGCAGGTGCGATTCCGTGTGCAGCCTGGGGGCCGTAAGGTGCGAGTAGACGGCTGAAAACTTGTAGCTAAAGCTATGGCTTTGCGGCTCAAAGAATAAGGAGAGAAGAAAACAAGGGGACCCAAGCACCGTTTTTCCCTTTTGTTTGCTTTGGTTGGCTTTTGTAGCTCTTTGCTTCGGCTGCCGGTAAACCTTGTCCTACTGTCTTACCGTACTGAAGGTCCAGCAAGTGGATCGGAAAAATCGCTGTGCTTGGACCAGAGCTGGCGAAGAGGTGCCCAGTTCTTGTTTAACAGCACTCAGCAGGCATGTTTGTAGATTATATTGATGTTTCAATATGTTTCAATGGAAAACAATGTTTGACGTTTGCTGAGTTTGCTGTATACTTTATTGTCCAGTCTTCACGTTGACAACGCATAGGCGCATAGGAATCTTTGCCTTGTCCCGTCTAGTCTAGTCGCATCACTGAAGTTCGACTATTGAATTTCCGAATGAACGCCCGAGGTAATTCACTTGAGGTCTTATGGGGATGCTTGCCTTATCTTGCATTTATGCTTTTGGAAGGATTTGGAAGGGAGGTCGCAGAAATTTGAAGGATGCATTCAACTTGACTGAGGACGATTCTAAAGGCATTGATGCTTGGTTTGAGCTTCGAGGGCCCATGACTCACTGCCATGCCAGGAACCTAGAAAAGCAGCTCATTTTCGGTGGAACACCACTATCATGCTGACAGATGATTGCAGAACTTGTTCTGATGTCTTCCTGCTATCTGACATCAGGTGTGGCGGGCTTGGAATGCTTGCAACACCGGTGCTCCTGATCCATGGGAGCGACTGATGGAGTGTTGTAACCTGCGATTTGTGGGAAGCTAGCATGAGCATCCATAAGCTTGCGCCTTCCTTTCTCCAGTTTTCATCCAGAGTCCAAGTTTTGAGAAGGAGCACTGGCCAGACTTCCCTTCAGATCGGGCAGCACCACCGCCTGCGACCTTGCAGGCCTTTTTGAAGGGTCTGGGCCTGTTAAGCTGAAAGACCACTCTTATCCTGGGCAAGCCTCGATAGACGTACCATTTGTACATTCTTCCTCCCTCCGTTTGGTTCAAACGAGATACAGCTCCGCCTCTTGCACGTTTCGCTCTGAGCCATGCAACATGTTGCCCAAGATTGAGAGACTACAAGTCCAGACACAATGAGTTTTTTTTTGTTACTCAATTTTGATGCTATTATTTGACCTTCAAATGCCAAACTCGGACTCGAGACATACTTGTAGGATCTGCTGGGTAGCAGGGAGAAAACTGGACAGACAGAAGAGATTGTCGAATCGTTGCTTTCTCTCTCTCTCTCATATATATATATATACACACATACATATGCCATTGGCTGGGGTCGGCGAAATTCGGCGGATATGTACATACAGTACTGTTTTTGTTTTGTGAGCAAGAGTCGTTTTGGAGGCGGCGGACACCGCTGCGCCTTGGCCAGGCAATCAGGCTCGGCACAAAGGATACCAGGTCACTGTGTTTCATGGCAGGATTTTTCTCCAGTTTGACTGATTGGCTCGGAGTGTTTAGGAGTCAAGAGGCTTAAAGAGGCCAGCCATTTCAATGTTGTAACGCTTTGTCATCTTCGGACTTCGGACGTCCGCTTTGCACCTCTTTGCCATGTCAGGCTTCACCCAAGGGTGAAGACTACACCGTGCGAGTCACCGGCGCAATGTCCAGGTAAGGATCCACACGAACCCACGGGGGTTAGTCGGGCTTTGGATGTCATCCATTTTTGAGCAGCGATGTGTCTACAACCAGCTGCGCAAAGGCAAGCTTTGCTAGCTAAACTAATCCCAATGATGTGCCTTGGGATGGGTTTGATGGAGGTCCCGACATATTTCACTTAGTTCATATATGGAGATACTTCACCTTTGTTCATGTTGGTACTTCTTGCCCCTTTGACCGTTCAGGTTGGTGGCTGCAGCAGAGGTTCTCCTGGCAGTACGACGACGCACCTCAAGGCTGGTGGATCTCAGTTCGGGTTCGAACGAGCAAGGCGATCCTTTGTACTTCAAGGGATAGTGAAGAAAGAAAAGAAAGACAGATAGTAAGGAAAAGAGATAGTAAGGAAAAGAGAAAGGTCAAAAGGTTTAGTTTCCCTACAAATCTAAGAACGAAATCAATCATGCGAAGAGTTCTTCAAGAAAGCTCAGGCAGGGAGAGCTTCCTTGAAGAACACAGATCCTTTCTGCGTCCAGTCGGTAGTAGCTTCTGCGGCCTACCCTCCCTGAAGGACAAAACCTTTAAAGGTGTGACATCCAAGACGTGCTAGGCGCTAGGCGCTACGCGTTTGAAGATGCATCTAAACTTGAGCGTTCGTAGACCTGAATTCAAGACCCTTATATAATGGTTTCGTGAGGTTTCTTTAGGATACCTTAAGATGTATTTATGCAGCACATACAAACAATGCTTGTGGACACCAAACCAGCTGAAATGACAACCTTGTCATTGCTTGATCCGATGTCATTCCCGAAGTTGGCTCCAAGGGCCTTGGAAGAGCTCGACAACCAGCTGACAAAGCAGCCTCTCGGCTGTTGCTTGTGCTGGACACCCACAAACATTCTGAACGTGCTATAGTTTTTCCTAGTGTTTGACATCTCTTTTTTTCAGGTGTTTTTTCTTTGACTTTTGAATCACTTGTTCAACAACATTTGCACTCATTATCATATACTGTAAACGAACATGCTGGTGCAAGTTTGCAGTCAGCACTTCCTCTGACATCTCCTCGTGTCATGTGTGATACTTGGCTTTGAGGTGGTTTCGTGTAACTTGATTGCATTGGGTTCCATTTTCTCTTTGAGAGCTGGTCTCGATGCCAGAGTTTTATTCTCTTTGCGCTCGTGGGAACGGAGGGAAGGAAAGGTCAAAAGTGTAGAGCCAGTGAGGTGAATTCCGGAAACACCGTTGCTGCTGGCTTGGCAGCATCTTGGCTTGGAAGCTCAAGATAGACCTCACAGCACGGTACTTTGCAAAGTGCATTTTGCAACGCGTACACCGCCTTGCACAAGAAGCATGTTTTCTCACACCCAAGCACTAGAAATATCGAAGGTGGCATCATTCGGCTCTTTGTTCGTGGCACCTCCGATTGGTGTGGCTCTAGGGGCCACCAGTGCTGCTGCGGGTGTTAGCAGCGGTGCTGGAGATGTGGTGGCAGATGCAGAGCCTTGACATTTGAAGCAGATGCAGGTGACAGATGTAGGGTCATTGATCGGTAGATCTCTTGGTAGATCTGAAGGATTGAGGTAGAGCTCCTCTGGCTGGGACAGTATTCTCTGTGTCGCAGTGCGTGAACCTGACAAACGTTCTTCTAGCAGTTTCAAGAGCCACTTTGTGCATCATGTCTAAGGAGAAGGGTCGCAATTTGGCAAAGCTCATGGAGGTTGACATCACTGAAGAGCCTCTCAGCTTGTCAGTGTCCCGTGAAATGCATGTTTGCACGAGGAAGAACACACATCATCAGAATCCATTGTCATCCCAGATATATAGATAATGCCTACATAGTGAATTGTTATATATATATATACACGAATGGATTTGTTCCGTACTCAATCCCACAGCCAACAGCATTCTTCAATGTGATATGACATATTATATGTTTACCTTTCTTCAGGTTGGCCTTCGACTCCATCGAGTCTGAGCTTCGCTGTGCTCTTGCGAAGGCGGTGCAACGACAGCGTGGTGCCAGCCGTGGGGGGGCCGCCGCCACCACTGCCTTGGCTGCCTATGCACAGACGGCGTAGCTTGAACTGCAGATGAGGTTCTTTGCCAAAAAGCCTGGCCAGGAGAAGGACAGGATGAGACTTGAAGGAATCCAGCATCACCGCACATTCCACTCCCACTCATGAGTGCACTGGACTCGTGCTGATTGACGTCTTTGCTGGATCGCGAGTTTCGACACGGCGAGGCTCAAGCAAATACAAGTATGGCATCATAGAAGATCCCAACAATTCCCCAAACAGTGTGGACACACTAGGGGTTCTTATGGTAATAGTTGAGCACCGGTGTTAGATCGAGGTGTTGCGCATCCGTGTCCGGCTAATTCGCTGCTATTTACAGCACATTCATGCCTCTCGAAATCCTCAAAGTGCATTTCGACTGCGCAGGCTCGCGAAATCTGGGTGGCGGCGGCGGGTGCTTGTCGTGACTGCGCTCTCGTTGTCGTGCCGTGCGCATTTTCGGACACTTGTCGTGGCAGGTGCAAGGGAAAATTTGGTGGTCCAAAGTCGACTTGTCGGGAGAGGCGCAAGGGATCGGAGCGGTTTTACTTCGAAGTGCAGACTTCGTGGCAGGCGCAGCACTTTGGACACGGTGGTGCTCTTCGAGGTGCTCTGATTTTGTGACAGGTGCAGTGAGTCGTGACTTTTCAACGTGTGGCTCGTTTGCGAACCTCGAAGTGCAGATTCCTGTGGCAGGCGCAGCGCTTTGTGAACCTCGAAGTGCAGATTTTGGGGCAGGAGCAAGCACTTTGTGAACCTCGAAGTGCAGATTTCGTGGCAGGGCAGCACTTTGTGAACCTCAAAGTGCAGATTTTGTGGGAGGCCTCACGCTCACGCTCACACACACACACACACTCTCTCACTCACGCACCCACTCTCACTCTCACTCACTCTCACTCACACTCCCACTCACTCAGAGTGAGAGTGAGACTGAGACTGAGACTGAGCCAGAGTGAGAGTGAGTGAGAGTGAGAGTGAGAGTGAGAGTGAGAGTGAGAGTGAGGGTGAGGGTGAGGGTGAGGGTGATGAGAGTGAGGGTGAGTGTGAGTGTGAGTGAGGGGTGCGAGTGGGTTGTCGGAGTGAGAGGGACTCGCACACTCTCTGACTCACACTCGCGCATTCTCACTCTCACTCTCTCACTCTCTCTCTCACTCTCTCACTCTCTCACTCTCTCACTCACTCACTCACTCACTC